CACATCTGCAATGAAAATTCGGTTTGTTCCTCTACTCTGCGTCCAAGTCTCCTTAAAAGCAGAGCCTAACATGAATGTTTCTTTCAGGACAAGGCTCGTAACAATTGGATTACATTTTGCAGTAAGGGACCACTATTTCTGGCCCATTATAGAAACAACATAAATGTCATCGGTTTCCCTATGCAGATATGTGTTTTCATGGGAGGGCCAGAGATAGTGATTCCGTATTGCAAAATGTAATCCAATTATAATGATAAATGACTCTGGATAATTTGAATTCATAAATTGGCTGTCCTTTCGGACTCTAAAAGCTGCATAACCTAACCTCAAAATTACGGACATGTGAGTATACTCTCTGCGTATACGTACTCGAGCGTCGATCCCCTTTATACTGAGAGGTAAGACAATGTGAATCCAGTTCTGATTGGTTTCCGTATTTTAGGCCTCCACAGTGTCACAAACGGGAATGAAGATTACACATTTTCACCAATTGCAAAGATTATAATGTGGAATGAACCGAGGGATCACGGGTTGAACAAGGAAGGAACGGAATGAGAGAAGGAGCGGAGAAAGGAATTTGAGAACGGGCCGATCAAAGATTACGAAAAACTTTGAATTTTTGTAATCTTAATTCCCGTTTGTGACTTGATGAGGGGGTGATGTCTTAACTCTGAGTATAAAGGGACTCAAGGGCGCACGATGCGGCAACGTGGCGTGTATCCATATTTGTTCTGGGCCCGGGTCCGGGGTGGCTGGGTCGGGACCTCGGGGACCNGTCACGGGATGAAGGGTGAGGAGGATGCGCGTCCCGGGATGAGGATGAGGATGAGGATAAGACGCGGGCATGGCTCATGGCTCATGGCTCATGGCTCAGCTCCGCGAGGATTGGATGCGGCTCCTCTTCGGCTTCGACTCGGGAACCGGCTTGCAACTTGGAAGTGAAACAATATTCATGACACGCAACCCACCACAGACATCCCCCGCTCCACCCCCGCTCCACCCCCGCTCGCCCCCGCCGCCCGCTTGTGCATTATGCAAATCGGGTGCATGTCTGGAGCCCCCCGGGCCCCGGGGAAGGGAGGGGGAGGGAAAGGAAACCAAAGCTCAGATCGGGAGGAATCCCCGGTCCGCAGGAATCTCGCCTCGTTCCGTTCCGTTTCGCGCAAAGGGCTTTTGTCCAGATTCCCGCCTTTCGGAATGCACCGACGAAAATGGATTCCTGATCTAACAATAAATTGTTAAAAACCATACTCGACATGCTTCAAATGTATATTTCACAATAGGGAAAAACTTTTCGGGGATAAGCTGTTTCTGCCAAACGGAGCTATTCATAATTGGACTTGTGTTGTTTACAAGCAAGCTGACTTACACGTATTTGAGTAGACTTCATGAAATAAAATGAGGTTTATGAAAGTATGATTGTTTATTGTTATTCGATTGCAGGAGACAGGAAATGTTGAATTATTGGAATAATGCATCGTTCCCCCACAAAGCAACGTAACTCCATTCCAATGTTGTCAAATTCCTTCTTGTAAATCGCACTTTTACAAGGATAATGTTTAACTGAACTTTTCACCGATTTTTCCTCTAGCCTCATGCAAAAATCAGACAGATTTTGGAAAAAATTGCGGAGGTACATTCTAGTGAAGAATTGATTTGTTTGAGTCAATTTTGTAACAACGGTATGGAGTTACGTTCCTTCCTTCAGGAAACGGCGAATCGAGAGATGTCGATTTCCGATATATCGATTGATCCGCCATTTAAACCTACAGCAAAGGATCGATTAACAGGGTGTTTGCAAAGAACACCTTCATAATCGATTATTCACCACAGTTTCAAACGGGGAAGTATCGATAATCGACCATTCACGCCTCGCCTGTCGAGAGGTGTCGCCCGGCCGGCGAAAAGGTCCACCATCAGAGAGGAAATTGTCTCACGGCGGAGTGGAACGCTCTACATTATGCGGCGTTACAGCGGAGCTCTGATCTCGAGTCAAAACAAACAAAATTATATTCAGCGCCGGAGACAATGACCTGGATTACAAAGTTGTCAAGTTGGAGCTCGTATTGGAACATTTTCAAAAGCATACGAAGGAGTCTCCCGTCGCCTCCACGTAGCCCAACCCACGAAAGGCGCACCTTACCATTCTAGGGTTCCTTTGCCATGACGAAAAGCCTGGGTCATCACTCGAAAATTCAATTTTTGTCTCATTTTTCACCACAGGACTCATCTCATTGTCAGCGCCGACAACGCGTATCAAGGTGGATGGTTTCAATTTCTATGCTGCCGTGCTAAGGAAAAACGCCGTATGAACCTTCAGGCGCTGCCAAATTTTCTTGATAAAATACGAATTTACAGAGACATTTGTGAATATTTTTCCTCCAATTTTTCAGATAATTGCATTCGCAGCCAGATCTGAATAATCTGCAAATTTCAAGAGAAAATATTCATAACTTCCCTCTAAAATGCTACTTTTATCAAAGGAAATTTGGCAATTCTCGAATGTTCATACGACGTTCTTCCTTAGCACAGCAGCATGGGAAAGGCTTGAAACCACGTATTTTTTTTTGCGACGTTGCAGACTTCCTGTCTTACTTATTTTTTCTTCGGAAAACCAGCCGACGTAATTTCTTAAAACGTTGTTGATTTTCCCTCCGTATTAGGAAAATATTCTGTATAGACCTCAATTATGAAGGTTGCTTGTTTTTTTGTCCACAAATAAAATAGGAGCAAACAGTTTAAAAAATCGCAATGGAGACACGTGATTTTGCACCTTGGCCGTTGATTTGCACCTTTTGGCAACTCCCAGGAATATTTTTTACATGGAATTCCTTTTTATTTCAGCAGACCATCAAACAAAAATTCAATTTCCGCAAGATGTTTCTTATCACAATATCAAGTAGAAAACGTGGGACATAGCGGATATCCCTTAAATTAACTCATAGAGGAATCATTAGCATTTGTAACTTACATTAGTATCAGCCAGTTCGAATTTCCCACTTGCGAAAAATAAAAATCAACGCGGACCGAAGAGGGTATCGAAACTGATGCTTTGCGATCGGAAAATCAACCAATAGTTTAACAAATTTATTTTTGTATATATATAAAACACGTGACAAAAAATCGTTTAAAAAATTTGCAGAGCTCAAAGACCTGTCAAGAAAAATTCGGCTCACAAAAAAATTATCACACCGTATTGAAATCAGTACAACAACTCATTTGGTATGGTCATGTCCAGAGAATGGCAGGAGAAAGGTTGCCGAAGAAGGTCCTTGATTGGGTTCCTCCTGGGAGAAGAAGCAGAGGGCGCCCAATGAAAGGTTGGAGGGAAGGGATTGAAGCGGAAATGGTAAGATGCTCAATCCCCCAAGATTTGTGGTTTGAAAGAGAGCAGTGGAGGTTAGGAGTCGTAGAGCGCGAGGGAGTGCTGTAAAGCGACTTGTATGTAAGTATTGAAATCAGTTCAATGATCGTTTGACTCTAGGAAACTTCGGTTTCGCGGGAGACACAAAAGAGTCGATCTCTTACCTTTCAGTTAAATTTGAGTTGAATTTAGAAATTGTCTTACGTCTTCATGATATAAAATTTTGATTAATTAGCACACTTTTTAATTCTGAATGCTAAACCTTATCTATTGCTCATCAATGACTAAAATTCTTGCTAATACGAGGAGAATTTGCCTTAGACAACACGAATAGTCTAGTTTTCTTACAGAAAATTCATCTTTGAAACATTCCTATTGATCCTCGTTTTTTTAAAAAAATAAAAGCAAGTCCGAAATGGAATTTAATCGGAGGATATTGGTAACTTTTGCATGAGAGCTGTGGAGCTTGTGACCCGGCATCCGGCAGTATAGTGTATGGGGCTTAGCCGGATTCAAACGAAAATTAAAGAGATTTTACAGTGGGAAAAACTCATGCTATGTATCATCTAGTTTGTGTCGGCTACTTCAATCTTCTTCCAATGACCAAAAATAAGTTCTCGGCCCTACTAGCTTAAGATTTTAAGCATTTAAACATCTTCATCACTAATGCTTCGCATAGAGAAGGAATTTAGTTGAAAATTTTCAACATTTTTAAAACATTTTATGAAGTTAATTGAAAATATGTTCAAAATGTTCTATTGGCAAAAATCAATATGGAGGAAAAGCAAATCAATTCTGATGGGATGCGCGATGGTGAGATTCAATAAATTGTCGTATACTTTATTGGAGGGAAAAAGTCAATGTCGGGAAAATTACACCGAAGTGTAAAAACCCATAAGAAAATGTGGGTTATTTTTTAAAATTTTCCATTCTTGGCTGTAGCAATGTTTCAGAAAACACCTATCGCATTTTCTGAAAGTGCGACTTTATAAAAAAAACTTGAACATGAAATCATAAAATCAAAAAAGTTTGAATTCTTAGTAAATTTTTACTATCTCGAATGGCATCTCTTTCTAATCGTTAAATACAGAATGTGACAGATTTTTCCAAAAAAATCTGAGGCTACTGAAGCGTAAAAATGTGCGTTAATGTCTCAAATACTTCAATTTTTAGCCGCAGGAAAGTTTAGAAAATACCGTTTACTGCTTCTTAAAGTGCTAATTTATAAAAAAAAATCTTAAACATTTTAGAATCATTATTATAAAATAAAAAAATCTTAAACATTTTAGAATCATGATTATAAAAAATTAGAAAAATAAAATGTTCGAATTTGAAATGAATTTCTTCCGTATATTTTCCTGTCAATTTTCGGATTTATGGGTTTCGCTTTTAATTGAACGCTTTAGAATCATCATCATTACTATTTTTTTTAAAAAAAAAAAAAAAAAAAAAAAAGTTTGCTTTTAAAATGAATCTCTACCGCATCTAGTTTTGTCAATTTCAGTATTAAGCAACGTGATAGATTTTTACGAAGAATAACCAAAACATAAAAATATTTCCTGTACCTTATTGAAGTCACCCAAGTTCCAAAAACCCCCTAAGAACACTTGAAGTAGGGAATTTGGCGTAAACTCACCTTGCGTTAACGCGGCCAGGGTGGTGAGGAGTGCCAAGCTGACGATGGGGTACATTTTGCGCGGTCGGGAGTGTGTCGTGTCAACTTGAAAAATTCGGGGGGAAAACGTGGGGTTCTCACGGTATGGCGCGCGCGGTGGCTGTTTCAGCTTCGAGTCACTGCACTGGACTGGCAGTGCGGGCCCGGGGCCCCGAGAAGACCGGACCACCAAACCCCCCTTCCCCCTCGCAGGGGCCCGTCGCACCGTGGGCCCACCCCACCTCGAGGATCGGATAAGTCTTAAGATCTTGTCGTGATATATTCACAGGAATAAGCTGGATCCTCAGTTTTTGCGCCATGCAAATCTGAGTACGATGCAGATGCATTTCGAATTTACCTTTCGCCGGATTTTTATCGGAAGATAAAAATTTCAGTACGTAGATAAATCCCTGAGGACAGGGTTGCCACAGTCAGGGAAAACCGGGAAATGTCAGGGGAAAACACGAAAATGACGAAAATTTCAGGGAAAATGCGTTAAATCTCCTTCATTTGCTTTCCAGAATGGGTTTGAAATTTTGAACAAGAAATTTTGCGTGAAAACTATTTTCAATTATGCCTTCTTATCCGTCCGTCACATCTTTAATTGTCGGGGAATTTCACCAAAAAGTGTTAGGGAAATCAGGGAAATTTCAGAGAATTTTATTTTCTAAATTCTGTGGCAACCCTGTTAAGATCTTGTCGTGATATATTTACAGGAATAAGCTGGATCTTCAGTTTTTGTGCCATACATAGTGGGTACGATGCAGATGCATTTCCAAGGTGTCTACCGACCCCCAAAAGTCCCCAATGTCCCCGTTTATCCCCAATTTTGGAAGAATGTCCCCGGTATCTCCCAAAGTCCCCAATTTTCTTGGTCAGGTCCCCAAAAAATGTCAAAAATCTTTCTAAAGACCGGCATTTTCAAATTCCGGCGGCGCGGTATGACCAGGAATAGAATAATTGAAGTGTTGCTTGGTTTTTCGAATGTTTTCATCAGTTCAACATGACTATAAAATAAGCCTTTTAACGCTTTAACTAGCTCCTTTTCTCATACTATTTCGGGGCAAAAGTCCCTGTTTTTATGAAAAAACACCCTTGAAAGTCTCCGAAAGTCCCCAATTTTGATTTTTTTTAATTGGTAGACACCCTGCTCCAATTTACCTTTCGCTGCATTATTTTCGGAAGAAAAAAATTTCAATCTCTAGATAAACCGCCGAGTAATCCTCACGCCAAAAATTTTCTTCCAAAGTCTTGAAACAAAGTCAGGATTTTCTGGGAAATTTTTGAATATTTTCTTCCCTATTATTTAGATATTTTTGTTTGCAATTTTATCCGAAATACCTACATGAAAATTTCAAGGATCGTTCCCGATCCTGTCGTGCTAAAGAAGGACGCTGTATGAGCCTTCAGACGTTGCCAAATATCCTTCGATAATCCATGGATTTCCCGAGGAAATTGTGAATATATTTTCTTGAAATTTACATACATTTTAGATAAAATTCCGGATAAGAATTTTTAAAAAATAGGAAGGGTAATATTCTCAATTTTTCCGTAAAGTCCATTGCTCATCTTAGTAAATTTGGCAACGTCTAGTAGCTCATACAGCGTTTTTCCTTCGCACGGCCGAAGTAACACTCGATATCATTACATTGAATCGGTTGCAAAATCGGAACGGTGTTCTTGACTTCGTTTTAAGAGTTTGCAAGATGATTTTCCGCACAGGCATTCCTTAATGATTGGTCTATAGACTGAAATTACGTTTTCCCAAACTAATCCAGCAAAGTGATTAAAATATGAAGTATATCGAATTATCTAGCATACCTCAAATGCATCTCGCAAAAGCTAAGCTCCACATTAAGGTGGTTCTTCAAGGTGGGACAAAAATTCGGTCTGGTCAGATTACCAAACTTTTCAGTAGCCCTGCGGGTCGATTATTGAAATTCATAGACAAAGAAGACAAAAGAGGTGTGGAGGGATCCTATTGGTGGAAGCGGGAGGTTGCGATGGACAAAGGAAGTAAGTAATAGACTAACTAATGGCAACCCACGAGAGACTATATGTATAGTCAATCCCTCATTTTCTTTCTTTGTTTATAAGAACCACCCATTTCAACCAATAGGATCGCCCCATTCTCCAAATGCCTTCTTTGTCCACCGCTTTTCCTATTAATTTCGATAATCAGTCCCCGGTCTGAAATCCAGAATGCCTTTCCTTTCGGACCCTATACTATTCTGCCATGCTAATAAGGACAAACACTGTATGAGCCCTCTTTTGTCGAATTCTCCTCGATAAATCCTTTACGTTTGCGGAAAGTTATGCCTTTTTTTTATTGTCGGATATTTTGGACGAGAGTGCAAAAAAATTGTCTGAAAAATTTAAGTTAAAATATTCTCGATTTTCTCAGCAAATTCGCTTTTAATTGAAGATTATATGGCAACTCCCAAAGGCATACTTACGGCGTCTCTCCTTAGCACGGCAGTATTTTACCCGCGAATCTCCTCTTGGGAGGGGGGGGGGAGTGAATCCGGGATGAAATCTACTCCGCTAGAGTGAGCTCTGCTTTTCCAGAACTAAATAAGTCTTTTCCGGAATTGAATTTTTGTGGTTTTTCAATTTTAAATTTATCTTGAAATAAATACTTTTCTTTTTTCAGTATCTACTTATTTTTATCGACAGAGATTTGTTTAGTGAAAATATTTAATAGTCACTAATTAAAATGGTAAACCCTTAGTTCTACAAAGTGTGGTATATCGAGGTTTTTAATACTTATAATTTATCGACGAATGTTTTTCATTTACCAAAATTTTGAATCAAGCCAAAACCAATAATTTCAAAAATTACAAATTAATGAAAAAGCTTTATCCACTGTACACGTAACTTGGCTTGCCATGTCATATACTTTGTTTTTTAAGGATGGCGTTATTGGCGTTTGGTCGGTACCGCACCGTCAAATAAACCGTGATTCGCAGGACCGTACCTTCAAATAAAACGTTATTCGTCGGTACCACATCCTCAATAAAAACATCTTCTTAGCACTGCCAAAGTTCCTTTCCTGCATGACTTTTATACCGCTAACTGGAGAACTCTCTACCACTAAGGTGACCTTACGGGATGACTTTCAAATTTGACACTGAAAAAAAAGGAAGAAAGAAGATCGCCAGTGAAGCGTCATTCTAATGCCGAAAAATTTTCATATCAGTAATGAACTTTTGATCCAATCTAACAAGCAAGTTGCGATCTTTTGGTATTCTCTGGAGGAAGAATAATTAAAAATTAATTAATTAATATCTAGAATTAGATAAGCACGAAAATCTTAGACCCGCAGTAAAGTAACTAACTAGGCAACTACGTTTCTTTATCAACAATCCTTGCTGGCTCATTCTGAAGATTTCGCCTTCAAAACTAAAGTATGCAATTTGAGCGACTTGAGAGCAGTATTTAACGCTTGCAGTAATGTGGTAACGTTTATCGGTATCAAACACTGTACTTGGTGAACGAATATACTTGCAGTGCATTGTCTTGCACTCGCTCCTACCAGTTCGCCTTCAATACTAAAGCAAGCAATGTGCGCGGCTCAGAAACAAGAATAACTCATTCAAGTGTTCTTACAACCCGGTCCCAGGATAGTTGGATCACATTTAGTAAAAAGGAACCAACGCGATTATAGTGTTGTAAAAATGTTGCTTCTCCATAATTATCTAAAAAATCTCCCAAAACCGCAAATTTTTTTGCTTCCCACCAAACAATTAGCAATTGTAAAGGAGAATAATTGTGTAAACTTCAAAACTGTACATATATTGAGTATTTTTAAAAGGAAAGAAGAAGTTGCACGGTTTTGAAAACACTGAAACACGCTGGTTCCTTTTCGCTAAATGCGAGCGATTTCAATCCGACTTTTTCCCGCGCTCGAAGTGAGTCCTTCAGTTTTACTGTGAGGCGACAGCGACGGTGCCAAGTTGCGTGGAAACGGACCGAATTTCCCTGGGAGCAGGGTCTTCCTCACAGGAAACCCGTCAGGGAGGCGAGGAGACTTGCCCGAGTCGCTCACTGGCCAGCGACACCTGCGCCCCCCCCCCCCCCNACTCTCATGAAGTGCAGTCCCAGCTTCCTTCTTCCAGGCTTCGGAGTCCTACAGGAACGCCGCCGCCAGAGGACGCTACCATCGCTTCATCGATAACACCTCGCGGGACACACCCGTGCCGTAGCGATCTGGTCGAAGGTATTCATGTGGAGGTATGGAAGGACCAATGTGAGTACGCGAGCGCGGTCGGCTTGGCGGGCAAATTTAAAAAGCCAACGCACATCTTATTTCTACTGCTCTGGCGTAAGAGTGTAGGTGAATTTTTGCCACTGGATTCGGTTACTTTAGGATGGCCTTGTCTCCACGAGCCGTTTCGCGAGATTTGTCCCAGGGAAAAATCCCACTTACGAAGTTGGAAAAATATTGAGTTAATCAATATTTTTCCCAGTACCAAGTATGGTACTTGTACCCCTAGGATCCACTGAGAGAAGAAGAAGTGAAAACGAATTGTGCGATATTTTATTCATTACAACATTGTTCATGTTTGTTTAGTTAAAATAATGTGTCTAATTGTCAATTGATTGCAATTATTATTTTAATCCCGGTTAAATACTCGACTTTAACTAATTTATCTTCCCGCGCAAAACCAGTCGCAGGACTGAATGAGCCCCGTCCCGTGGAGACGGTAACTGGGAAAAATCCCAGAAGTTTCATACCTGCGATTCGAAGTTGGGACAAATCCCATGAAAACGTCCCGTGGAGACAAGGCCGATGGGTGACTGTTGTATCATCGTAGAAATTTGGACCAATCAGAATCGAGTATCTAATTTTCGAGCAAAATCCTGGACTTCAGAAGGTTCAAAGAGAAATCGCGCCAATTGGCCCATACAACTTGAATTTGTCAAGGATACAAAATATCATACAAATTAGTCGTATTAATGCTAAAAGGAACTTTGTGCATAGGGTTTGCGTGAGACAGTTTATTTTAACAGAAATACGTCCAACTATAATATAAAGACACAAAAATATCGCTTCCGGCCAGATAGAGATTGGACAAATGAGAGTGGAGTATGAAAATCTTTTCATTTTTTTCGTCGTTCATAAGTCGAAGCATGCCTAAGATACTGCGAAACGCTCTCTGGGGTTTGGGCCGTGTAGCAGCCGGGGGCT